ACAGTCACCGGCCAGCTACGCAGTCAATAATGAGAGCGCTCCTTCCCCCCTCCCCGCCTTCCCCCTCCCTCTCCTTACTTTAGTTTCTGTTTCCCTGCAGGCAAGCCCAGCTTGAGCTTTGAAACTCGAAACGTTTTGAAATTTTTTAAACGTTTCGACTTGCCTCATTTCGTTTCGAGGCATTTTCAAAGCTCTCTGTTTCGTTTCGATTTTGCTGTTTCGAGCTTGAAATGAGTCAAAACAGCGTTGAAACAAAACTGCCGGCAAAATTTTGCACAGCCCTAGTGCCCAGTTGATTGGACACGGGCCCTTTAACTTGGCTGACGCGCAGTATGTTAAAATGCTACAGTTAGTTGTCGCAGTAGAAACTCTCTTCATTTTTCTGACTGCATCCCTGTTTGATATTCCTGTTCCTAGGACAAGAGAGTCTTCTTTGCTTGCATTTTATTCACATGCCAAAACAATGTAATAAAAAACCTTCTAGAGAAAGGTTTAAATTCTTGTGTGTGCCCTTGAGTAATGGGTTGTGGGTGGATTAGCATGTGTGGCTGGCAAGCCATCTGCTGAGGAGTTCTTGGATGCAGACCCCTGATGGATAGACTCGCAAATGGAGGTGATGCCAGAAATGATAACGTGGCTTTGCTGATACAGCTGATCGCTCAGTGCACTTTCCCCTGCAGTGCACAAGCTTACGGCTTTCTGCAGCTGCTCCTCGGCCACCGGGATGCTGAGAGCTCGCACCGATGTTGCCCAGAGGGGAGGGTGCCCAGGGGAGATAGCAGCTGGGCTGTGATCCACTCTGTGCTGGGAGTCCATGCTCACGATTGCTCTTGCCTTTGCCATCACCAGACATACTGATACCTTTCTGCAGGGAGTGGGCCCTATTTTTCCCTAGCACAACTCCATTGAGTTCAGGACCTAGAGGCTAACTTTGGTCCATCAATCTGATGCCCCACCTGGATGGGGCTGAGTGAGAGATGTTGCTCTTGAGGGAGTGCCATGGTCTCCCAACCCTGTCTATCAGAGAAGGGAAGTGAGTAAGGGTTAAACCATAGAGTAAAACACCACCAGAGGCCACCAACAGCGATCTAACTGTAGACCTGTGCATGTGGGCCTCTAAAATTCACTGCCATTTCATTCCCTCTCTTGCAAAATATCAAGCAGTCTCCAACGCCTAGGAGCCTAATCATCTATTTATGTATTAAAAGAAGACCGGCAGTAAGTTTGTGCTGGAAAACACTAAGGCCCTGCACATCGATCATGTCCATTTAGACCTCACTCTGTCATCTCAATATTTCTGGAGACAAATTCTTTGCAGCTAATTGCAATATAAATTCCCTTAAAACATTGTCATAAAGGGGTTTCCCAAAGATATAAGGCCCGCCATCAAAAAAAGAGAGAGAGCAAAGAAACAGCTGTGAGGAGTTGTTTTTTTTTGTCTCCTAACTAAGTGCTATAGAAAAGTAAAGAGGAGGGAGAGAGAAAACTGCAAATCTTGCTAATTAAATGCTAAGCCTGCTTTTGTGGGCTTGATTTAAAGCATTGCAGAAGATCCTGATAGTTTTACCACTTTCCAGCTGAAGGCCAAAGAAATGGGCTGTTGTGGGTTTTGTGCTCCGCTGGAGACAGGCTTGAGCCACAGGGATCAAACACCACGAAACATCAGGGATGCTTCGGTCTGAGGGCCTTGTCACACGTTACACTTAGGACGTGCTAACTGTACTGCAAATGCAAGCATCCAGTAGTTTAAAGCAGCAGAACATGTGCTAAACGCCATCATAGCACAGCAAAGCCAGGACTCTCCCCATGAGGAGTATCTCCAGGTCACACTACCTAGCACGTGTTGAGCTAACGTCTGACTGCTCCACGGAAGCAGTACAGTCAGGAGACTCCAGTGCACAGGCAGGGGGAGGTTGGGACTGACAAACAGCCCTTTGTTGGTCCCAGCCCCTGCAGCCAGCACATGACGCCAACCCTTAGGACGTTTTATTTAGATCGTAGCAAGCATTACTGTGCGACTGCTCAGAAAACTTTCTAAGTCGTAGCAATGAAACACATCCTATGTGTGGCAAGTCTTGATCCAGGCCTAGCTCTCCTCTTAACACTTCAGAGAGGTGACCCAGCTAACCTGAGAGCATTGCTCTGGGATTGTCACCCATCCCCTGCTGCCCCGTGCCTTCAGCTTCCTCTGCAACATGTCCACGCAACCCACAAGACACGGGAGGTTTCTCGGTGCAATAATTGGTCAGTTCGGAGGCAGCTCCCTAGTTGGCTTCCCTGGTTTTCTCTGCACTCATTTGTGTTCTTGCCCATTTATGCCTGTGCTGTGCTGTGCACTTGAGTGGGTCCAGCGATGCGTTACATTCATTGCGCGCAGTTGTGAATGCGGTGGCATGGAGCAAGGTAGTGGGGGAATTCGCTGCATTCTCCTGCAATGGGAATCAGCGGCCTGGAGCATGGCGTTGTACACGGTCCCGAGGTAAACCCAGAGACTTCAAAGAGGGATCCAGGGCGTCCAAACCATTCTGCTGTGGAATAGGAAATAGCAGTTGTCATGTAGTAACCAAGACCGAGTCCACTGGCCATACCATACGGTGCACATGTCAAGTGCATTTCACCAGCGCAAGTCAGCATTTTTATCCCCATGCTACAGATGAGAGAAACCGAGTCTCCCAAGGACTCCTAGCCAGTGGCAGAGCCAGAAAATAGAGCCCTGTTTCCCTCACTCCCGGCCCCGTGATGTGACCAACACGTGCTGGACCTAACTTCTTGAGTTGTTATTTTAATATTTCTTTGGATCATGGGAAGCAAAGCATGGCATTTCCCGGCATTTCATTTCAAAGGGCCAAAAGGATTCTCAGCCCTTGGCCAAGTTAGATTGGATCATCTCCAAATGACCATTTCGCTCCACAGCTGATGGACTAGGAGCCCATCTCTGCAACCCGTGTGGGCTGTGCACAGGTGAATGCAACAGAGAGGGACTCCATTTGTTAGGCAGGAGAAAGTGAATTTGTTCAGGGAGCCGGTTCCCTAAAAACTCCACATGCATTTGTAGCCAGCACAGGTAATCATGGCTCTTGGGTGTGTGCTTGGGTTAAACCAGCTCAGATGAATGTTTCAGAAGTGAATCAGTCTCAGACATTTGCCTGCCAAATGCTTTTCCTTTGCATATTCTCACCTGCAGTACCTTCCTTTCTTCTGTGGGTCATTTTGCCTCGAAGGAGTCTTTCCTCCTACATCCTGGATGGTTCTTTAACTCACAGCCTCTCGTGGCAGCTCATTGACTACCGATGATGAACCCCACTGCTGCCGAAATGTATATAGGTAGAAGGAATCGGGTTTTCCTGCCTCGGTCTGCTAAGGTTGCTTGAACAGGATACGAGGCGGAGGCACACACGGGTTTTACAGCTTTCACTTGTGCACTGAAAACAGTAGTGCTGCCTATTCCAATCACATTTGCCAGGTGTATCGGGCCTGGTGCTGCCACCCGTAGTCGCACAAAGCCGTGTTTAATGGATACCACTGATGTGCTTAACATTGGTTTCATGAGTAAGGTAGTTGGTGATGCTGTTGGGTCCTTCATGCTTTTGAACATCAGCTGTTAATCATCACTTTGCGCCTGGCAGGAAGAAATGACTGTGGTGTCCCTGTAGGAAAACAGAGATTATGTCACTTAGGGAGGCAATAGCACTCAGCAGCGAGACTCAGGCATCCTTGCCTCCTTTCCTACTCCTACTTAGCCACTGATCCGCTCCCTGGCTCTTAAATGGGTGGGATTGCATGCCAGATGCTGAGCTAGACAATCACAGACACCCCCTGCCCCGTGAACTGAGCACCTTTTTTAAGGCTGTACGTGGGGCATAGACCTTGTGTAGCGTCTCAACAAGAGGAGGAGGAGGATGCTGACGGAGGGAGGTACTCAGGTGAGAGATATTAGGCATGTGGTCACGTGAGAGTGAAATGCTGGGAGCAGGCTTCGGAAAGTACAACCAGGTGCCTCCCGTGATTGAAATGAGGTTGCCCCTAAGACATAAAGCAGCTAAGTCCGACCGTAGGCAGGGGGTCGGACTCGATGATCTGCTGAGGTCCCTTCCGACCCTAAATATCTATGAATCGCTGAATCTAAGAGCTCTCACGTCCTCCAACATTGGACTTGACCATTTTACACTGGTAACGCCTGACATGCCAATGAGTTTTATACCCGGGGGAGGGGAGGGAATACAGTATCTGGTGTCATGAACATGAGCAAGTCCATAATAAGAGGAAGACAAGACCCCCTCTGCCCGTTCCTGGTTTCTGATGGGAAAAGGTGCATTCACGTTGCTCTTGTTTCGGTTGCTATTGACCACACGTGCTTCTCGGTTGTTAAATTTCTTTAGTCGGTTTTTTTTTTTTTTTTTTTCACAAAGTGACCCTGACTTGTTACTTATACTGTAGCTTACAGAAGTGACACACTTAATATCGGGGGGTCCAAACCTGGATATCTACCAGTGGAGATGGAGACCAGGTAAATGTGCACCTGCTCTGCCAAAGGGAAAAAGAAGGGCCAGTTTGGCAACTGCTATGAGAGGCAGCTGGAGGCTGTAAAATAAAAAAAAAAACGTTGGAAGGGGATAGGTTGCAGTGCTATCATTAATTGCTAAGCCCTGATTGTTTAGGCCCAGCATGTGTGACGATGATGATCAGACATCATGCCACCTACTAGGAGAATCTGGGTCTCTGGAGAAGGCTCTGGGTCCTGACTCTGGTAGTGGTTGAGCACAGATCCACCAAAGTAGGATGGCAGGAGCTGCGGGTCCCTCCACAGCATCACTCCCTAAAGGAAGCCATATGAATGGTATCCACCCATCTTGCTCTCCCAGACGGAGGGAAGGTGCTAGTGGCTGGAGTGGAGAACGTGTTGGAGGAGGCAGCAGAGAGGGTGCTAATCTGGAAATAGGAAGGATGCATTGCCAAGGCAGCGTTAACGTATCTACGCACTTTCTTTTCCCCTTTTACAGACGCTTAACAAGAACAATTTAATACCCGATGACAGAACCAACTTCTACCCCTTGCAGCAAACCAACGTGTACACTACTACCTACTACCCCAGTACACTGAATAAATATGACTACAGGCCTGAGGCCTCCCCTGGAAGGACCTTTACCAACAGCTGATGATGGACAGATCATGCAAGGACTGGATCCATTCCTATATGAATTTTTTTTAATTGGGTTTATGGACCAAATATTGGCCCAGTCTCTAGATGTAAATATTGTACAGTAGGGCCTTTTTTTTTGGGTTTACTGTATTACTTGTAAACACCACATCTCCTTAAGCGGGCAGAATGCTTAGTTGGCTGCAAGTGTTCGAGGCTGGAAGATCAGCATTTCTGTCCAGGCCCAAATTGCCAAGGAGCTGACTATGTGCTGCGGCAAGTTTCCACCATGCAGGAGAAGGAAACCATACAGGTGTACTCAAAGAAACTCAACAGGTAGCTGCTTAGAGCAAAAAACATCTCTACGGTGAGGAGCACCTTTCCTGCGATACGATAGCAAAGGTACTCCAAATGGCACTTAGTTCACAAGACAAGCTGCACGGGACTCCATCGTGCTAACAACTTGAACATTTCATTCTTTTCTTTTAAGTTTCTATAAAAGTAACTTTCCAGGGCAGTGGGACCGTGGGATGATTCCTTTCCCGTTATGGGAAATAGTCTCCTTGGGTAAGTTGCCGTTTGGCCGGCGAAGGAAGAACATGCAAAGAGCGTACTTTACCCAAAGAAGCATCTCAGAATGTTTCTGGTCTTAATTAAAAGACAACTATACAGGCAGTGAGATGTTAAGCAAATGTTGGCACGACGAGATGTGAACTTGGAGTGCATAGCGAAGATGTTTATACCGCTGGAAAAAAAAGAAAAAGTGAAGGGCTCTTCAAGAGCCGTGGGCTTTCTTCAAGACATTTACTCTTTTGTTTTTTCCCCCTCTAGTTTTGATTCCAACCGTGTTTGCCAGGAATGACAATGGTGATGGCCATGCTCTCCTTTTGTGACATTATCATGCATTGGGTTAATTCTTACTGTATGATTATTTTTAGTTCATTTATTTTCAAAGAGTAAGAGATGCTGACTTTTTGGGGGGAGGGTATTTTTCTAAGGAATGTTTCCATAGCGTGACATGACCCGAGCGTCTGCTGCGCATCCTTATGGTGTCTTCCAGGCAGAACTCCATGAATTCATTAATTATACAGCTGAACAATGTGCATTGGTTGCCGGTATTCCTTTAACTGCTCAGCAGACAAACAAATCCTGCTACAGCCGTTAAATTCAATGGGGACTGTAGCATTATTACAATTTTTTTATCCAGCTTAGCAATGTAATGTTGTGTAGGTGCGTGACTATGTCCATGAGAACTGTATTAGACTGAGACAGAAGCCATGGTGTCCACGACCAGGTGTTTGCTTGCCATTATCGTTTTCACCTTTCGCCAGTGCTTAAATGTACAATTTCCTCCACTGTGTTCGCAACGTGAGCAAGTATGGCACTGTTACTGTTCGATGTTCCTAAGTATTTATAACGAACTCCTGATGCTAAGACTTTGAGAATGCTGCAATACCGAGCATGAGATAAAGAGTACAAAGCACGCCCGCATGAACTCCACGTGGTGCCAGAACGGGGAATCTTTGTATGCCTCATCCCTCAGCTCTTGCCATATCTGTTTCCAGTCCCTGGCTAGGGTGTGTTTCAAGAGGTCTGTTTTAGATGCGTTTCCTTCGACAGATTTTGCTGGAAGCCAGCACTTTGTTAGTCCTCCCGCCCCTCGATCCCCGGCGCTCGCTCGCTCGGCTGGCTTGGGCTGTCCGCCTAAGTCAACCGCAGAAGTAGGGAATAGGAATAGAAAAAAGGCCTGGCTAGAGTGTGCGCAAAAGCCCACGTATGGCCCCCGTGACCAGGACTGAAAAGCGAAAGAGCAAAGCTGCCTTCTGTTTCTAAGCTAGTTGAACCTGAAAGCTGTCTGCAGTCGCCCATGACCGTAATGGTATTTTTCTTATAAAATTCCCCTTGTCAGCCTGGTCACTGGGGTGTCCCAGCCTAGGTCAGTGACTCCTGATCTTTTCTGGCCATTAGACCCGTTGAGGTCCTGCTCCCAGCTGCACCAGTGTCCATGGAGAGAAACTCCACTTAGAGAAGCAGAGGTGCTCTGGATTCCCAGCCAGGCGATGAGGGGCCGGCGCAGACTCTTAATACTTTTGCTTCTACTACTGCTGTTTAACGAGGGACATTGTAACCCCACCACCCTACGTGGGCTGCCCTCAGTTTTGGCACGTTAGCAGAGGAGAAGGCACCTAGGATGGACGGGACACCAGCATGGACATCGAAATAGCGGCATTGCTCCAAAAGCCTAAGGTTGGGATTTTCAAAGGCACCTAAGTGAGTTAGGTACATAAATGGTTATGAGGGCCTAGGCTTAGCTCCTGGTGGACTTCCTTTGAGGAACCAGGACTTGTCCTGCTGCATGTCCTTGTTCCTTTAAGTGCCATTAAAAAACCCCAAGAGACCATAGTGGAACCAGTGGCTGAAAATTGTTGGATCAGGCTGCCCAGTCGGGACTTCCCAAATTTGATTTCAGTGATCCTAAAGAAAGCGCTGGTGCCCATGATCACTATAGACATTACAAATTATAGACGCGAGAGCGTCCCACATGGATGAGTTCCTGCATTGGAGAGCTGTAGGATTATCATTTACTGGGCCGGATCGCAGCTGCCCTGTGTGAAGGTGTGAGCAAGCGAGTTGAACCTTGCAATCGTTTTGAATTTTTCCATTTTCTTTTTTGCCTCTCAAACATTTCCCAGCTCCAGCCTCTCAGAATAACATATTTAAACTGCCTCTTTTTCTTCCACGCAGCTTGTGAAATTATTTAGGGTTTCAACTCACTGAGAAAAATCATTACTTCCATTGTGCTTCAGAAGTGCATATTTTATAAACTATTTGAAGGCAGATACCGGGGCGGGAGCGGGTGTGCAGTTATATTTTCAGCAAGACATAGAGATTTGTTCTTACCAGTTGCCCAAATGGATTCAGCCCTTTTTTATATAATTGGCAATCACAGCAAGAGGCTGTGGGCTCCATTCGAGCAGAAAGTAGAAGCGAGCGGGTTGGGCGGGGGGGAAGGCATCTGAACTCTTATTACTCAATTAATGTTTGCATGAGAGTGCAGTTCTTTAAGGGCAATGTTAATGTGATGTCAGGGTTGAATGCCTTAAGAGCTCCCTAGTGCACGACAGGTTAATGACACCAGATACAGTGATGTTCGTGCGTTTCTGTTTGAATCCAGCAGGTAATTCAGCAGCTTGATCATCATGTCTGTAATGTCTATAGTAGATTGAATTGCTCCTGCAGCTTGATGTTAAATGGCTTAAAATTTCCCATTCTTAGGGTCATCTAAAAGTACACTTGGTTCTACAGCATTGCTTTCTACAAGCCGCTTCCTACGCTATTTTTTTTTGCCCCCACTGTTATGAAAACCTCGGGTCATTCACTTGACAAGGAATTGACCTGGACCTCAAGACTCGAGGTCTGTGCGAGTTTTGGGCTGGGATTCAGCAGAGAGCAGGTAGACTGCTAGACATGTCTTATTTCCTTCCCCCCCTTAGCTATTTCTTTCCCCCCCATACAAATGCTTGTACTTTTTTCCTAGAAGGTTCATGTGTGGCAGAGTTACCCCTTCTACATTGCAAAGCTGCCGTTGGACTTTGCTGGGTTGGAAAGCCAAGTGTGAACATCTCCCCTTAATAACGCACACAGCTCGCTCCAGCAAGTAAAACACTGAAAAACACTCCTGGAGGAAAGGGTGCTGTTGTCTGAAAGACGCACTTGCGAGTGTATATATATATGTGAGCCAACTGCTCTTCTGAGACGTGTGAAACATGAATCGCAGAAGACAAGAATGTGTATTGTACAACAACTGTTCTTGATGCCTTATTTTTAGAAAGTGAAATAGAAGTTGTGTCGAAAGCAATGTAGAAAGTGGGAACAGAGTCCATTAATTACCATGGAGGCTACAGACAATGATGATCCCTCCAATGACATAAAGCTACGCCCATGTGAGGCTGAAATTGCTGTCTGTAGAGAACTGTCTATTCTTTGTACCAAATTGTAGGATTTTTTTATACATATAAAATGTAAATTTAAAAGTTTGTGTACCAACTTCCTCTTTTGATCGAATAGTGTGCATTATCTATCAGTGGATAGGTACAGTATATATTTATAATATATACACACAATATATATAAATATATATATATAGCAAGATGCCTGCAGAGAACGTTTAGAAGGGCAGTGCTGTAATTCAACCTCCATCTGGACAAACTGAAATCAAGGACTGAAACAGCCAGTGTTTCATTTGCTTTAACAAAACATACCTTGTAGCTAAATGCAATCTAATGCTCTTTAAATTGAGAAGAAAATTGATTTTTATAGTTCAAAATGCCCATTTCCCCAGCACAAAGCCTGCGTAAGAATGCCGGCACGAACTGTTTTTGGAGCAACTTCTGTTTTATGAATAATCCTCCCATGCCAGCTATGTGGATCACTCATTTTTTTTAATTACAAGTAGAGAATAATTGTGAGCATAATAGCACGTGGGAATAAGGACTGCTGTAGCATTACAGTAAAATGCGGCTTCAGCCAGAACTGGGAGGAAGTCAGTTAGCACGTACGTGCTGAAGAGCTTTGCAATTAGTTTCCCTCTATTTGATTGGCAGGCTAGACACTGAAGAACTATTCACACACTGGGCTCTCACTGTTTAAGTTAAGGGAGGAAACCTGCCAACCCACCAGCTGAGGTATTTAAAGAAGCCTAAAAGATTTGATACAGTGAGCCAGGCTCCTGAATCCCTTGGACTCCTTTGAAAATCCAAGCTGTAATTTTCAGGGTGGCTGAGGCTGCCCTTGGCCATCTGCTCATTGGGACAGGGTAAGGACTACCAAAGGTTTGCAAGGGCTTGGTTTGGACTGTTTGATTCTTCAATAGGAAAGGCACATAGGGATGTCTCTTGTAAACCCGCTGAGGGCAAACCTCCAGAGGTCCTAAGGACAAGTTTGGTTCAAAGAAACATGGACCCATTTAGGTGCTGTCCACGTCTCAACCTGAGACAGGAAAATACTCTCAAGCAGGTTGTCATGGAAGGTCCATTATCTTGACTGGCATGGTTGGACACTACTTGAAGAGCACCATATTCTTGCCCAGGGTGGAGAAAGCCAGCTCATGGCAGAGATGCAGACTTCAGATCTTGGCACTCCAGCCTGATCCAAGCCAACTTCGTCAGGTGGCCAAAGGCGATCCTGATG